ATTTTTGATGAGACTTGGGAGGAGGCTGTAAGGAACTCTCACGCAATTTTAGCATGTGGCGTGTATGTGTGTTCATGCCTGTGATAACACTGAACTTGAATCTGAGCACAGAATAACTTTGTTTAGTTTAACTTGTTCTACCCAGTGCAGAGCTGTTGTTGCAATTGCTAAAACCCTGATCTTGTCTAAAGGAAATTACGTAAATGTATGTTTACCGCTGATTGGCCAACACAGTCAAACTCCTTTTACCAGTGAGAAACCTTTTGGCACGCCCCTACCTTTCGGCACGCCCCTGTAAATATGGCGGAGGTAAGAAGGAAATTCTCATTATTTTACAGAAATAAATCACCGTTTATTTGCAATTAACCGCAAAATATAGTTTATGATGTATTTGAAAATTACATTGTGTCGTATATATTTCCTATTAAGTTGTGCGGTGTTTTAGGTCGGAAAACGCGTTGAATTCTTTTAAATTTTATTTCTGCAAAGTTATAATAGCAGTTAGCTCGTCTCCAGTTAGCCTGCTACTCTATTATAACCATACTTAAATACATTACCATACATTAATTATATCTAATATATTTACGCAAACAACGACGATTGTACTGATTATTTATGGTAAATCTTGAATTCATGGATTTTTTTAAAACCCAGATTTGTACTTAAAAAATGTTCCTAATCAATGCTAAGCAAAGTATTAGCTACACATCAGCCTCAACTTCGAAAGTCTCTCTCTCTCTCTCTCTCACACACACACACTCACTCAATCACTCTCACACACACACACACACACACACACACACACACACACAATATACACACGGCGTCACTGATTCCTCTGGTTTATCATGGATGTTCTAACACTGGCCTGTTGTAAGTTTTTGTTGATGTATATTGAAAGTAAAATTAAAATAAAATAGAACACTGGAAAACTGTTCTAGAGTTTTTTTTTCTGTTTTAGTAGGGTGACCATACGTGCCATTTTCCCAGGACTCTTGGCCAGGATTTCTATA